CACACGTTTGCACGCACGTTGCCCCTGGGGGCCACCTGCTGCCCCTGAGCTGTACACCCATCAGCTAGATGCCCAGGAGGACATCCCCGGTGTCCCGCACAGCGGCTTGGGCAGGGCTGTGCGGGGCAGCAGGGCTGGTCCCCGCCCCGCCCCTCCGCGGTCCACTCGCTACTGGCGCAGTCCGGCGTCCGGCCGCGCGGCTGTTCCGCTCCGCGCGTCTCCAGCGCGGTTCATTCATGATTGGTACTCGGCCCCCTGAGACCCAGCCCGAGCGCGGGGCGGAGCGGGCGCGCGGCAAGGGGCGGGCGGAGAGCGGCTCCCGCACCGCACGCGGCGCGGGCTCGGCAGCCTCGGCCGGGCGGGCACTCTGGCCGGGTGTCCAGCACCAGGCAGTCCTCCGGGCTCGGTCCTTGGCCCTCAGCGGGGGCAACGGCCCGACTGGGTGCGTGCACCGGGAAGCCACTGCGAAGGCTCCCTGAGCCTCTGGCCCTGGGAGTCAGTACATGTGCCGGGCTGGAAACGGAAGCCAGAGCTCCCAGCGCCCCGGCCCCACGCTCGCTGAATTCCAAGCTGCAGGCGAGCTGCCGGGGGCTTTCTCCTTTCTTGCTTTTTTCTCTGCTCCTATTCTGAGTGGGCAATCCACACCGATTTCTTTTCAGGGAGGGGAGGGACAGGGCCTGGGGTCCCAAGTCTCACACAAGTCTTCGCTGCCATGGGGGCCGTCATGGGCACCTTCTCATCCCTGCAGACCAAACAAAGGCGACCCTCTAAAGGTAAGAGCTCTGTCCTCCTTTTGTTTCCCTGGATGGGTTTGGGGGTGCTGGGCGCTGTGTTGGGGCTCACCACCTGCCTCTCTTAGTCCCAGTTCCCCTACCCATGAGGATTCTGGACAGTCTCTTTCCAGAGGTTAATAAGAACATCATGGGAGGGTTGGTGTGAACACCCGGGGTCAGGAGTCAGATTGGGTGCTGGTCCCTGCCTGGTCTCCAGGACCCTCCCCTTGGGAAATCTCTGGGAGCAGGAGGAGGCAAATTTACAGGTGGAGATAACCGCGTTCTCTGGGTGGAAATGTTGCGGAGGCTCTTCCCGCTCCCATGAGGGCTGATGTCAGTGTGACCTGGAGCACCCAGCAAGGGTGCTCACACTCTACATGCCCACTTGGGAGGGCCATGTCAAGTGCTGCCCTGGTAGCCTCACCATGAGGGAGACAGTGATTTGTTTGTCCACACTCCAAACCTCCACAAGCCAAAAGGAATCAGCTACTGCCAGGTGGTAAAAGTCCCAGGCTTGGGTCCTGAAGCCCAGGGAGTCTGTAAGAGAGAGGCACAACTCTGTGCTGCTAAGGTCTGGGGACCTCAGAGGAATTGAGGGCACTGCAAAAAGGTTGCTGAGGACAGAGTTTACATCAAAGATTAAAAAGTGTGACATCCTGGCCTCCCTCTATCTGGAGCCAGCTGCCCTTCTCCAGCTACGGCTGGCCAGGTCACCAGTGGGAGAGTTGTCAGAGCCGTGTGAAGTTGGGTGACCTTGTCGGGCCATGGTATTCAATGCAGGCCCTCTATCCAACTGTTAGAAAGTTGCTTCTAGGGATAAAGAGACTGGAAACAATTAAGAAAAAATATAACGATGGGTTTGGTTTTGTCTAATGCTCAAATGCCATTGCAAATAGCAGAAAGATTCTAAGATCTGATTCTTATGCGTTCAACTTCTGCTATTGGAACCTGATTCTCGCTACAGGTGGGATTGATTACAGCACCCACCCTGTGCTGGCTTAGTGATCAGGGATGTACTATGGTCATGGTGGCCCCAAATGTGCAGTGAATCTCCTCTTAGGACTTGGCCTATCTCATCTTAGTTGGGATCACAGAGCTCCCCAGGTAAAAGGGCTCAGCCTCTGGCCCAGTCCCCAGAGGCACAGGCTGGCTGAGCACCCTGGGAAGAGATCTGTAGGGGCCAATCCCAAGTGATGAGACTGTGCTGGCATGACATCCCAGAACAGAAAGGGGCTTCAGCCTATTTGGCAGCTGAGTTCCATGTCCTGCAGTCAGAGAAGGCACTGGTGCCTTTCAGCAGCCCAGAGTGAGTCTGCCAGCCTTGGCCCAGGGCCTTGGTACTCTGAGCTCTGCCTCTCCAAGATCCTGAGATGCTGCTTGACTGGGAACAAGACTGAGCACCAGATCCAAGCCTCCCCCCCCCCCATCATCCATTTGAACACCATGAGGTCCCACAGGGCCAGGGAGGGGACTGTAGGGTACAGTTAATTTGGATTTCTTTATTTCTTATTTATAATGTCTGTGCCTCCTTGAGATGCAATCAGGTGTCACAGAAAGATCTGAGGCTTTATAGTCCAATGGAGTGTAGGTGGGAATCCCAGCCTCACCATCCCTTCCATAAGCAAATTTCCTCACCTCAGTAACCCTGTGTTCATATCCCTCAAATGTGTGAGAATGCAACTTCCCAAGGGAGCTGAAGGAAGCAGAGGGAGGGAGGACCTTGCCTTATATACTGCAGTGGCTGAATCTATTAGGGACCAAGATGAGATTGTTGCAAGAGGATGAGGATGGATGAATGATGGACATGGAGCTCCAGGTAGAGAGCTGGGAAAGAAGTAGGAGCTCTGGTGTCACTGTCTCTGTTCCCCTCTCTCACTTCTAAATCCAGATCACCTGGGGTCGGTTCCTACAGGACCCCAGAGGCCACAGCACTTTCTCCTCTCTCCTAGGACCCTAAGAAAGAGAAGAGGGTATGCCAGTATTCCCTGTGCCACTACTGGTTGCCTAACACAGGGCTAGGTGTTTTATCTGCACATTCTAATTAATCCTTTTAACCAGATCTAAGACTCCTAAAAGGTTCAGGGTCATTGGATGGGTCTCCAAATCAGCCCCTGCTGCCCAGAGCCCTTGAGCTTGAATTGTCAGGGAGTTCAGAACAGAGTCCAACCTCACTGTCTTTCCCATCAGAATGCAAATCAGTAAAAGAGCCTTCCATGGGAGGAAGCTTGAGAAAGTAGACAGAGTTCCCCTGAGAGGGTTGTGATCAGGGGTCGTATCTACCCTGGTAGTTCTCCTTTTTGGTAGTTTGGTTTCTATGAATGGAGGATATCCCACTGGGCATTTTTTTTCAGGTTTCATTGGTTCCCAAATGCCAAGGGTTTTATTGTTGGTGCTGTTGCCAGAGCCGCTGCTATGATCTCTGGGATGTCAGGCTCAGATCTAATTAGATGCAGTCAGGAGAGAATGGTGGAGATTTTCAAATGAAGAGCTAATCTCCCTGCTGGGTTCAAGTCCAGGCTCTACCCCTCACTAGCTGTGTGACTAAGCCTTGTTTTCCTCCACTGTGAAATAGGGACAATAGTAGTTATCGTCTTAAAATAGCCGTTGTGTTGTATGCACTTCAGGATAATGGAAATCAAGTGCTTAGCACAGGTTCTGTTGCATGATAAGTGGTCAGCAAATTTTATGTGCTATTCAGTGTATGCCTTTACTGCTTGGGACGACCGAATGCCCAGAATAAGGTTGTTCCAAAAGTATGCAGGACTGTTGAGAGTCTTACAGCTCATTTCTGGAATATTCTTTGAGCCCTGTGGAGGTCACTAGGATCAAAAGCCAGACATTGAAATGCTGAGCTTTTGCTCTAGTCCACTGACCTCTGCACCATGAGTGGTCCAGAGAACATTTTAGCCTGCTCAGCTCCAAGCCCAAAAGCTTCAAAAACACAACTCGGAAATATATGTATGTGTTTAAAACAGGGCAAAAATTCCATGTGATTAGTGCTACAGAGGAAATGCGCCTAGCCCAAGCTGCTGTTCTGGGAGCAGTCCCTGCAGGCAACAGTGATTTAAGAGTTTTGCCAGTAAATAAAAGCACACAGCAGTTCACTTTCTGTTTTCTGTTTGGGGTCTTGATGTGTCTTTAATTGAAAATTGGAAAAACCTTTCTTGCGGGATTCAGTCTCGGCCCCTAGTCCCTAGTAGAATTTCTGGCTGTGTCAGTTTCATGTGTGATTTTCTTGCCAAGGACTTGGCTCTTAGGCTTGAATGGGCAAATGAGGCTGGTTATGGTATAGGAGATAACCAGAGAAGGGGCATATACATGCAGCTGCGGGCTCCGTGGGAATCGGGAGACTTACTTTAGGAAAACACCACTAGACCAGGACCGTCTCAATTCTAAGCAAATAATCTCACATTGTTTGGGTGGCTGGGTTCTAACTTTTCCATGACCAAATGCAACATTCAGAACTTTGAGAGGGGGGTGAGGTTTGGACCTCCACAATGCCTATTGAGTGAGTGAGAAAACTAAATCCCATGGATATCAGATGCTTTTTGTAAGGTCACCAGGCAAAACAGAATCTGAGACTGCTCTTGTGGCTCCTAAATTAGAAAGCCCCTAGAACTGTAGAGACGTAGAGTCCCTGATGAGGCTGAAGAAATGGAATGGTATGTAAATCCTAGAGAGCCCTGGGAAGCGATAATGAACAGAGAGGCACAAAGAACCGGTGGCCCTGCATCAGAGTGGCCTGGGCTTGGAGACTTTTGGCAATAGACATGCTTATGCCGTGGCTTTCACCACCTCAGCGTCTCTGTCCATCATTTCGGCTCTGTGATCTTCTTTCACTCAATCCCTATCTCCTTGTCACTAATTCAAATTCTATCCACATTTCAAGACTTCACTCAGCTGATTCCATATTCAGGAAGCCTCCTCCAAGCCCCAGAGAGAAGTGACTTCTCCCATCTGAAATCCTAACACTTTTAAGTTGTACACTCTCCTGACTCACAAGTCATGCTTGGACTCAGTCAGTGGAGGAATTAACCCCTCCCTTTCACTATGGTGTAGCTTTGAGCAGGAAATGTGTCTGAATCGTTCTTCAAAATGCCTGCTTGGGTTCTTCACATATAGTAGGCTCTCAATAAACATTTTCCAGTGGAAATTATAAACAATGAGATGGTTGGCCTCTCTCTTATTTCTTAGAATTGCAGACCCCGCAGGAAAAGTTAGCTTCCCGCTGGAATTTCAGTTACCAGCCCTCTGCCTGAATGAGTTGTGTTACTTGGTCTGTTGGCTTTGAATTGGCTTTGTCCATGAAATGTACTGAATCTGTTTACCATTTAGCAAGAAAGTGCTGAGAACAGTGTTCCCATTCCGCAACCCAGATATTCACAGAAGTATTGGGGTTAGGGGAATGACTACCTAAAACAAGTGGGATTTTCAGTCTGATTCCTGGAAAAGAGCCAAGACTTGGACCTTTTGTCTACCTAGCTGAGCTTTACTCAATAAATCTTTATAAATGTGCGAGGGAATAAGTGAATGCATTCCTTAGTAGATGGGTGAAAGATGAATGATAGCACAAATAAGTGAATCAATAAATGAGAAAATGAACAAGGGAGCAGGTGAATAATCAAATGAATGGCAGACAATGAATAAATGAACGCATGATTAAATGACTATATCCATAAATGAATGAAAGAACGATGACATCCTAGAAAAACTACAATAAAAGACTGTCTTTTCATGAAGAGTGGTAATTATGCTGCCCAATTCCAGTTTCCAAACCTCTAACTTGGCTTGTGTACTGTTGCTAGCAACGCAAGATCATAGGCTAGGTAACTTAAAGAAAAGAGGTTTATGGTGGTCCACAGTTCTAGAGGTCAGAGGAGGAAGTAGTGCATCTGGTGATGGATGGTCTTGCTGCTGAGTTCTGAGTGACATGGGCAGAAGCGTCCTTTTTTCTTATAAAGGCTCTGGTACTCATGGCAGGTGGGGAGGGAACATTCCAC